ATTTCATGGTGGCGTGGTGTTTGTGATGGAGAGAGAGAGAGAGAAGAAGTGAAGAGGTGTTGATGTTCAGAAGAAATGAAGAAGAAGAACATGATGTTATGATTATTAGGTGTTTTATTTTCAATTCTCGTTCCTTTGCAAATACAAAGAAAATCTCGTTTATTTGTATATAAAAGTTATTTGTACCGTGGGTGGAGTAATTTTCTCAACACATTTTCATGTATGCTTTATGAAACAAAAATGCTCCCACCTCTCTCTAGTTCTCTCTCTCTAAAATCCTCACCTATCCTTCCCTTTCATATCACCTCCCTCTCTTCCCCTCCGGTCAGCCCTCCCAGCTAACCTCGTCGGCAATCTCCGGAGGTAAGCCGCCCGTGGGGGGCGGCCCTGCCTCTCTCCCTGTCATTTCTCCCCTTTCTCTCACCCCACCCCATGGACGCGATTTTGCGCTCCGAGAGTCCGCTCTCCTCAGTGGCTTCTCTCGGCCACCAAATTCCACTCTCCGACGACCACCATACCAGACGACCACCCCCCGATAACCTTCATACCAAACTCTCCTTCTGGACAACCAACATTAAAAAAGCCTTCAGATCCTTTCTAAACTCGTCCGACCGACGGCACCCTCGAGTGGACGGTCAGCAGCCTCATAATGGCCACAGCCATGGAACCACCCTGTCTAACGCCGGCCCGCCAGTTCCAGTTACTCCACCGCCGCTCGCAGGTGGTTTAGCTCCGGGTAGCTCGGCCCTAGTTTCTGTACCTGCTACTCCGGCCAGTCAGATCGCCGAAAATTAAATCCCTTGGCCGGAGCATTTTGACCCATTACCGGCGAGACTCAGCCCCTTGGCGAATGTCACAGATCTCCACACGAACTCAGATGCAATTTCTCACCAATCAAACCTTATCCTTCTGACACCCAAACCCTCAGCTCAATTGCAGATGGGCCAACAACTTGGGCCAATGCCTAGGCCTATTTCAGACTTTCCCCAGGCGGGCTGTCATTTACCTAAGCCCAACCAATCCTCTTACCTCTGTGGGCCGTCCCTTGCCCTGGCCCAATTCGCCCCAATACCCAATACATCCCACCAGTCAACTGAGCCCAACTCCCCAACAGGCCCTCACCACCTCTCCAGACCCATCACACAACAAACATTATCCCCCCACCAACAAA